GGGGAGACACCTGGGTGGGGTGTTCTAGAGAGGGGCTCTCCATCAGGGAATGAACAGCGGCTGTGGGCGGGGGCAGGGTGGCGCTGGTGGAAGGTCCCTGTTGTCCGGACTGGGCAGAGTCAAGGCAGAGAATACTGTGGGAGTCACAGTGGAGACAGCTGGACACAATGCGCTGGGATCACTGACGGGCTCAGGGCGTCGGGGCAGAGGGAAGGGGTGAAGTGGGGGCTTGGAGGGGGTAGGATGTCAGGAGAACCGTGTCCGGCCGTCTGCATGGTGTCTACGAGTGTCATCTGTCACCTGGAAATAGTCAGAGGTGGGTCCTCACCCAGGACTCAGAGCCTAATCCACATGACACCCCCCACTCACCCTCCTTCCCTTCTCTGTTGGCTCAGTACCCTGGCAAGGAAGGCGCTGTGCCCGCTTGGGATGCCGCAGCCCGTAGTGCGTCCCTGCGCTGGGAGTCTGCACCTCCGTCTGGTCAGATCGTATCTCTGCAGAGCAAGGAGCTGTGAGAATCTCCGGTGGGGACGGGGGGAATCTTCAGTGGGAGCAGGAGCTCCACGGGCCAAGGCTTTCAGCAGGTGCGGGGGACCCCAGGGTGGGCCTAGTGCAGAAGTCCGCGAAGTGGTGAGACCTGGGGTCCCCTGCATCCCTTTGCTGGAGAAAGTACCCAGGAAATGCTGGGGAACAGCTTTGCACTTTAAAGCCAGCTGGGGTGTGGAGGCCCCAGAGGCGGACCAAGGGGAGGCAGGGGGCATCTGGCCTCCATTGCACCTGGGGCAGTAAGGGGTGAAGTCGAATTCTTTCACGGACTTTGTCCCTGGACTTCTTTAATGCGAGTGCTGCGGTCGGTCATTGGTGCTTCGGTGCTTCTGCGCGCAATTGGCATAATAACCGGTGTGAGTTCTGGGGAATCCCGGCGCTAAACCCAGGCCCCAGAGACCGGTTCCTGGGAGACGCCCCCTGCTGGTGGTTCACGCTTTTGCTTTTAAGGAGCCCATTGCTTCTGTTCCCTGGTCAGCAGCCCTTTGTTCACTCTGAGCGGGAGCGCGCTAGCCCGGGGAATCCGGGTAGCCAGCCCTGGGCCGGGCTGGGCCGGGCCGCGCCGGGCCGCGCCGTTCCACACCAGCCCCAGGCCGGCACTGGGAAGTCCCGTAGGCCGTGGGGAAGACGGGGCTGCCGCTTTACCTGCTTGACACTTCGGCACAGCTGGGGAGTGGTCGGCAATTGGGCACAGACGGTCCCAACGCTTGTAGTGCTGAGACTTTTCACTTATGTCACTTTTAGCAAAAGATCACACGAGACATCAAATGAATGACACCCCCCCCCCCCATCAGTACAGGCTCAGCGACCTGCTACTCTGGAGCACTCTGGAGGAGACCCCTGCACACCCCTCACCCTTGTCTCTGCAAATACAAGTCTGAGGGACCACCCATCCCGATCACCCCCTCCCCAGCACAGAAAAGGCCACGCCCTAAACCAGGGCACACTATCACCCTGACACCTGTTTTCCTTTAAAAAAGTTCTCAGCTTATAGGACAGGTTTTATTATTTTGCCTCCCTCTCCGCATAGAAATCAGGAAACAAAGAATATTCATTTTTATAATGGAAGCTTGAATACTTTGCTCTTTGAGTAAATCATGATTTCCAGGTAGCCTTTTTCCGCAGTAAAGGCGCATGATTCCAGGTCGGGACTGCTTTCCTGCTGGACACCCCCCACCCCGCAACCCTGCCCCAGTTCCGGGTCCCCCCACCCGCTGCCCCATCCTCCCAGGTGGATTCTGAGCCCGCGGCTTAGAGAGCTCCGCGTTGAGGCGGGAGGCACCCACCTCTCCTCCCCTCCTGGGAGTCTGGGGGCGGGGAAAAGGGGCGGAGGTCCTCGGCTATCGCCCTCTGCGTCCCAACCACGCCTCTGCGCTTGCAGGAGCACCCTGAACGCAGACTCAGGCCCGGGGCTGGGGGCTCACTGAACCTCTGCGCGACACCCTTCACCCCGCAGCCGAGTCCACGCGGACGCCACGTGCCCCGCGCCCAGCTCCGCTTGGGAAGCGGGGAGAGGGGCATCGGACGTTAAAGACACTCCCTTCCCTCGCAGCTACTGGGGTTGGGACCCCGTCTGTTCACGCTTCATTTTTCATCCCACCCCCAGGTCCGGGCTTGGTGCTGCCGGGGCCCAGGTACCTCTGCCCCGGGGTGAAGATCTTGCCGGGTCTCAGGCGAATCCAATCTAACGAGCATCTCCGGTACTTACCTGCCAATGGGGTGGGGCGAGGGAGAAGAAATGCCAACCTTGCTGCCAAGGTGACTCCAGGGTCGGCTTGCAGCCCGGGAGTCCCCTCCACCCCCGCTCAGGCCGCAGGCGAAGGGAGGGGGCCGGGAGGGGCCGCCTGGGAGGCGACTGCTGCCATTTCTGGGCGGGAGAGGGGTGGGGTGGGGTGGGGTGGTGGCGGCCCGGCCCGGCCCCGCCTTAGGGTCTGCTGGCTGGGCCGGGTCGGCGCGGAGCCCTGGGGACGCGGAGGCGTCCTGCTACGTGGAGGGAAAGGCGTCGTGTGCGCGCGTGCATGTGCACGCACGAGCGCCGCAGAGAAAATCCCGGAGGTATCCGCCCAGGTGATAAAATTTGTGCCGTGTTCTTCCTTCCACGGTTTGCATGGAACCCTGCCGCAGGTCTCGCGCGTGGAGGTGGTCGCCGCTCCACAGACCCACCTGGCACGGTGTGCGCGCTGGCAGCCAGGCTCAGGCGCAGCCTGCGGAGACGCTCTCGCTGCTCAGGGGGGCGCTCGGGAACCGTGCGCTGGGTAACGAGCTTTCCCGGGAAGCCTGCGGGTCACACCCCGCGCCCCGGGGGTTGAGGCTGGGGTTAGGGCAACCCAGGGGCGAGTCATCAGTGTTGGTGACAGGCCGCTGAGGTGTCCCAGCAGCACAGCACTGTCTGGTGGCTCGCCTGGCTGCTTCTGGTTAAACCAGGGCGCTCTTGGCCAGGGTGACTTGCCCGACGCCACTGGGCTCCATCCGAGGTCGGAGGGATGGAATTCGGGGCCTTGAACTTATTTGGGAAACACTGAGTCTTTGTGCCCTGACGCTAACCCAGAGGTAGCAGCCCTGCAGCCATGTCCGGGGTGCGGTGTGTTGGCAACACCTGGGACTGTGGCCAGCATCCTTGAGCCTCATGGCAGATTTGCGGGGACATCTGTCCCCCACCCAAGCGAGGCCGCCTTTCCTTCTGTTGGTTAATACCTACATGAAAAGGGCACCTCACAACATCATTTGTTTAAAAAAAAAATTGGTAACTATTTTCTCACAATTGTCTCCCCTGGAAATCTAGAGTATTACATTTTATGCATTTAAATAAATACTGTCTTCGAGGAGGGGCCTATGGGTTCACCATCCACCCAGACCCATAAACGTTTGGGGTCCCCAGTTCACTGGTCTTTGGGGGGTGCAGGTGAAGTTGTCCAGAGGGAGACCACTAAAGGCTTAGGGGAGGCTACAGGGGACAGATATCCAGGGGATTTTCTGGCTCTGTAACATCTGGGAGAATTGATTTCTCACACACCCTTTCATAGTGGGGTCCCCAGAAAGAGGGACAGGGTACCCCAGGAGAATTGTGGGGGAGGGGCAGGGTCCCCAGGGGAAGGAGCCCCAGGATGTGGAAGGACTGTGGGTGCTAATCTGTAGGAATTCACACCACCCAAATCTAGTTCCACGGACAGTTTCCCTGAGGACCCCCCTTTAGTGAGGGCAGTTCTGGAAGAGCCAGGCTAGTCCGGGTGGTCTGGACCAGGTTTTCTGGGGGACATTTCATGAGGGTCAGGTGATCTCTTAAACCTGCTCCAAGGGTGGGTCACTCATGGTCGATCCACCTCCCTTTGAAGAGTGTCTTGCTGGATTTCATGGCTTCCTGGGGGGAGGGGGTGTCATGGCAATAGCAGGGAAGGATCAAGAGCGAGGAGGTGGCACTAGATGGAGTATGGAGTAGGGGGACTTCTGTCCAGGAGTGGGGGATGGGCTTGGGAAGTCTGGAAAATGCGGAGGCTCCATCCAGGCTGGCAATAAAGGGAAACCCTCCAAAGGCAGCAAGCCTGGGTCCCCGAGCGTGGGCGCTTGAAGTCACCTACCCCCTGCCCTTTGCCCTCTGCCCTCTGCCCTCTGCTCTCTGCCCCACCCAGGCGAGAACTGGAGCCAGGGTTCTGCCCGCCCTCAGCCTGTGCAGGCCCAGACGCGACACTGGAATAAAGTGAGGAGGTTCAAAGGGGAGATGGAGGGACACACTCCATCTGTAGAAACCCTCTGTGCCAGCTGTGCCCCAGGAATGCCCTGCTCCAGCTGCCTCCTGGCCCAGAAGCCAGCACAGGCCCAGCCCCCAGTGTCCTCGGACTGACCCCGGAGAGCCGGGCCCGGGACAACAGAACCCTTTCTTTCACCAAGCGCCTGCTGGCCAGGTGGCTGTTGGCCACTTGAATCCCAGATGTGCAGCACAACCGCCCCAGAGCTGCCCAGAGGCGCAGACACAGGAGCGGGGGTCAAGGACTGCCCTGGGCGGGCCTCAAGTCAGCACTGGGAAAGTTGCCAACATGTGACTTGTGTAAAGATGCAAGAGCCAGGGTGATGTTGGCCCAGAGGGCTGGAGAAAACCTACAGCTAGGCTCAGAGAGAGGACATCAGGGCCAGGACAGCCAGTTTATTCAATCAGCTCAAGACGCGTGTATGAGGAGGGGAGGGCAAACAGCACGTCGTCATGGGGGTCGAGACAGGCTATGAGAGAAGGGCCAGGGGCCATGTCTGTCAGAAACAACCTGGAGACCCCCCAGTAATAAGGGAGGGCTGTCTAGGCTTTATCTGGGCCTGATGTGGGGGCTGCAGATAGGCTCAGTCTGGTTGTTGGGGTCCGAGGTCAGTGAGTGTTCATGCTAGGACTTGTACCAAGGTACGTGCTGGGTAAAATACTGAAGGCCGTGTGAGGAGGGTGGGGGCTGGCCCTGGCGGGACGTGCCTTGTCAGCAGCAGGCCTTCTGGGCTGAGGCGGGGACGCAGCAGGCCGGGCGGGAGCACGCACGGCGGCAGAGCAGGGACACGCAGGAGGCCGGGCGGCAGCAGCTGGGCTGGCAGCAGGAGGGGCCACAGCAGGAGGAGACGGGCACGCAGCAGGCGGGTCTGCACACGGGGCGGCAGATGAGGGACACGCAGGAGGAGGGCCTGCAGCAGGCCGAGGGGCAGGGGGTGGGCTGGCAGCACGAGGAGGCGGCCCCAGAGCAGACGGGCACACAGCACGCGGGCCTGCAGCAGACGGGCGTGCAGCACATGGGCGTGCAGCAGGCCTGCTGGCAGGGGGAGGAGGTGCAGCAGGAGGGCAGGCAGGAGCTGGCGCAGGCTGACTGGCAGGGGCTGGGCCCACAGGCCACCTGACAGCAGGGGTCTGGACACGCAGCTCACTGGGGTGCAGACCAAGGTCTGGCAGGAGGCTGGTGCGCAGCAGCTGGGGACACAGCAGGTGAACGGGCAGCAGCTGGGGGCACAGCAGGTGGACGGGCAGCAGCTGGGGACACAGCAGGTGGACGGGCAGCAGCTGGGAGCACAGCAGGTGGACGGGCAGCAGCTGGGGACACAGCAGGAGGACGGGCAGCAGCTGGGGACACAGCAGGTGGACGGGCAGCAGCTGGGAGCACAGCAGGTGGGCGGGCAGCAGCTGGGAGCACAGCAGGAGGGCTCACAGCAGCTCTCTGGACAGTCGTCCACCTGCCAAGGGGTGTCAGTGCAAGAGTCACTGGAGCGGGGCAGGCAGACGCGGCTGCCGTAGCTCAGGTCGCTGGAACAGACGGACAGGGTGGAGGTGGCCATGGCGGGGCAGTGGATTTTGAAGAGGGTGTGAGTGTGTGTGAGTGTGAGTGTGAGTGTGTGAGGTTCTGGGGCTGTCAGCCTTTATACCCCTCCTCTGTGTTGTGCGTTGCCCCAGCAGGCGGCCCACACGCCCTCCCTTCCTTGTTGGTGTTTGGAGTCCGTTTCTGCGGAACCCTCATTAGAGCTGGTTTATTTTCCCAGGAGGTGCTGCCCAGCTCGTAAATGTCTTGCCTGCATGTTGGGGCTGGGTGGCCAGTCCTGACCAAGTCTACTGAGTGGGCAGAGAGACGGGCTTGGGGCAGAGCTGAGGCAGGGGGACAGAGGGTGGGCCGCTGGGTGCTCGTTGCAGGGACCTGGCAATGGGGGAAGGTAACTTGGATTTTGGGTTCCAGGAAAGGGTCCTCACGTGGGTCTCTGTCTCTGGGGCCTGTGGTCCCCTTTCTTTTGCATTGTCACCAAGTTCCTGCAGATGATGGGGGACAGAGGTCAAAATACCGGGCCGTTCTGCCTGTGGTTGGGGCTCCTGTCGCTGCCCCAGTCTGTGGCCTGACGGACGGGCGCAGCCTGGGGATGAGCGGCTCAGTGCTGCCCTTTCTCCCGATGGCGTCCCTGGGTGGCGGGGCTGTGCCATGGGCAGGGGCAGGGCAGTCCTGTGCCCAGCTGAACAGCAGCCACCAAGCTGCGGCACGACTCCTCTGAAACCTCTGGCTCGCAAGGCGCCTGTGGTGCGCGTCAGGAAGGCAGGCGCAGGGCAGCCTGCGCAGGGGAGCGGGTTAGCGCAGCTCCTGAGAAGGCTGAGGGTTCATTATTTTATTACTATTGTTATTATTCTGTTGTTTTTGTCTCAATGACATTTTAAACCAGAACACTCATACTTAGAAAGTATGAGAGCCATATTTATCATACGAAGTTTATCATATACAGCAGGTCCTCGAATAACGATCTCTCTCATTATAACGCTGATGAGAGGTTGTAGGGCCTTACCTCTTGCTTGTATCAGAGCCTGCGGTCAAGCTGCCTTTGTTATCTGTCCTGTCACTTGAGGGTGCAGAATCTTTCGACAGCACTAAGTGAAGACTGACCGTACATTTGACTTTGTGTCTCAGGGCGGCTGTAACAATTGATCATACACGTGATGGTTTAAAACAACCGAAATTAACCCTCCCGGGCTCTGGAGGCCACAAGACTAAGAGCAGTTTCCTGAGCTGTGACCCAGGTGTGGCAGGGCCCCCAGGAGGCTCCGGGGTGACCTTCCCACCTCTTCCTGCTTCTGGGGCTCCAGGTTCTGACCCTCGGCCGTGACCCCGGCCTTGGAAGCTCTGCGTCTGTGGCGAGGTGTCTGTGTCCTGTCCGTGTGAGAAAGTGGAGTCTCAGCCTCCCCGCAAAGGCCACTCGTGGGGCCACTCAGGGCCCACCTGGCTGACCCACAGCCGTCTCCCGTCTTGAGGTTCTTGATTGATTTAGTTATTTATTTATTAAAGGTTTTATTTATTTTTAGAGAGAGGGGAAGGGAGTGAGAAAAGGAGGGAGGAAAACATCATTGTGTGGTTGCCTCTTGCGCACCCCACACTGGGGACCTGGCCTGCACCTCAGGCGTGTGCCCTGACTGGGAATTGAACCGTCAACCCTTTGATTCGTAGGCCGGCACTCGATCCACTGAGCCATACCAGCCAGGGTTCGAGATTCTTGATTTAATCAGCAGCCTGCAGTCAGTCTGCAGGGTCCTTTCCCTCACACAGGTTTGGGGTTGGGACAAGGCTGTCTTGGGGACATTATTTGGCCCCCTGCATCATCCCTGGCAAACACGCCGTGTTTTACCTGCCCCACATGGTCTCTCTCCTACTCCACTCAGCCCCGACTCTCACTGCCTGATTAGATGTGTTCGGCAGGTCACTGTGGGCCCTTGTTTCCTCTTCGACAAGATGGGGGTGGGTCATAGTGGACTCAGGCCATTGTGTGATTTAAACATGTTCCGTGCCTGAAATTTACTAGGTCGTTCACAAAGCCACTGGTTTCACCAAGATTTCATTGGCCACATGGCAGCATCGTGCTTAGCAAGGCCACCTGGATTTATACTAAGCCTAGGAGAGCCACGATGTGTTTAGCCGGATGGTTACCTGCTGCCGGTTCGGCACGTGGGTCTGGCCAGAACACGCGCAGCAGGGAGCTGAGGCTTCAGACCCAATGGCGAGTTCGCACTGCCTAGCTCTCTGGTAAGATTTAAAGCACTGATTTCCTGGATTTCTAGAGTGTTCTGGTGAAACGGGAGGCCTTGTCCAGTGCGTGCCAGCGCTTCTTTCACAAGCGGCCACTTACTGGGGTAACCTTATAAGCTGTTGCCTGCGAGATGGCTTTGGGCAAAAGGAGAGCTTCAGGCAGCCTGTTCTCTCAGCTGCTCTCACGCACTTAACCTCCACCCTAGCACTTCACGCTCAGAACTTCAGGTGAGGACAGGGCCACGAGGACAGGCAAATGGCTCTGCCCGGTCAAGAGCGTCCAATGCCCCCAGGGCCGCTCATCTCCGCCGCCGGCAGCTCCCCTTCTGCTCAGGCTGTGGCTGTGACAATGCAGAACCCTAGATGGCAGTTTCTCCCAAACCTATCGGATTCCCCATCATCTTCCTCCCCAATCAGCATCTTCTACTGGACAAAAGGCACAGTTTCTTTCCAAAATGCATTCTGTAAAAGGACGTGCACGTGCCACTGGGAGCTCTCAGAACAGCGACCTCTGCTAGGAAGGTCTCACCCCATGAACTTGCCTTGGGCTCTCGGGGCTGGGACCCAGGGCCCTGTCCTAGGCTGCCCGGAGTCATTTAGCGGGCAGGGAAACAGTGATGAGTGGCAGGGACAGACCCCAGAGACTGACTGGAAGTACCACGGGCTCAGCGGCAGGACCGGGGGGCTGGGAGGTGGGGGCGGAGTCCAGGGGGCCCGGGCAGGAGAGGCAAGTTTGGAGGAAGGTCCTGTCTGGAGGGGTAAATGGCCTGAATCCAGGAGAAACTCTGGGGACATATCAGGAGAGAGAGCCAAAGTCCCCACACCATAGTGACGCAGAAGGCAACGGGTGCTGGCAAGTCAGAGAGTGAAGGAGCAGGAGAGGCACGTCCTGGAGCTGAGAGCCAAGCTCTGTGGAGACAGACAGGTGACAGGAGAAGGGATGGGAGTGCAACTGATCTCCGCTGCGATCCGGGAAGGTCAGCAGCATGGCGGGGGGCGGGGGGGGGGAAGGATGTCGTGGTGGAGGGGTGAGCAGGGGAGAAATGGGGCCGCCCAGAGCTATTAGGCAGCTCCCCTCTGGAGGGGTGCAGGCAGAGCTGAGAGGGAGGACAGCTGGGTTTCATTTGTCACTGTTACATGAGAGAAGACTTCGGGACACATGTGACCCCAGCGGAATGCTCCCGAGAGAGGGCTTAGGAGCCAGAGGAAGCAGGTGGCCAGGAGGGCTTGGCAGCCAAGTGCAGGTGCTTGTCCAACCCCAGTGCCCTGGGCGTGGGCAGAGGGGCTGCTGCATCTGCCCGTCCCCTCTCCTTGGGGGAGATGCTGAACCCCATGTCCTCCCAGCCCCCTTTGCCAGGAGGCCTTCCTCCAAGGGGACCTCTCAGGGGGATGTCCTGGGCAGCGTGGTAACTGTGCCCGGGACTGGCCATGGCTAGGTCCCTGAGGATCCACCACCGGGCAGGCTCCTGGGAAGGGGGCTGCCCATACTGAGGCCCCCACTCCTGGGACTGGCCCAGATCCTGCGGGATGGGAGCCAGGGGCTGTTCAGCATCGGCAGGGACCCTGAGGGAGGGCCCGCGCAGCAGGGGGTCAGCAGGGCAGCCAGGGCACTGGGCCCGGCCTCTGTGAGGACTGGCTGGCAATCCAACTAGAAATGGCCGAAAGAGAACCAATCCCATTGAGGTTAAATGCAGGTGACTTTATTAGTTTTCCAAGTAGCCTCTGAGGAGGTGAGACCACTGAGACTTGCCTTGTGGACATGGTCCCCAACCTGACCACTGGGCCGCCAGGCAGAGTGCACCATGGGCTTGGGCAGGACCATCCTGAGTTTGATGGAACTTCCTCCTGGGCTGAGAGCAGGAGGGGTTGTCAGGGCATCTCAGGACTTCCTAAGAGTAAAACCCTAAAGGCGGCTGTGAAGCCAGCAGTGCCCCATGGTGTCTGGCTGGCCCTGGGGAGGGCACGCCCAGTCAGCAGCAGGACTTCTGGGCTGAGGCAGGGACGCAGCAGGTTGGGCGGGAGCACACACGGCGGCAGAGCAGGGACATGCAGGAGGCCGGGCGGCAGCAGCTGGGCTGGCAGCAGGAGGGGCCACAGCAGGAGGAGACGGGCACGCAGCAGGCGGGTCTGCACACGGGGCGGCAGATGAGGGACACGCAGGAGGAGGGCCTGCAGCAGGCCGAGGGGCAGGGGGTGGGCTGGCAGCACGAGGAGGCGGCCCCAGAGCAGACGGGCACACAGCACGCGGGCCTGCAGCAGACGGGCGTGCAGCACATGGGCGTGCAGCAGGCCTGCTGGCAGGGGGAGGAGGTGCAGCAGGAGGGCTGGCAGCAGGAGGGCAGGCAGGAGCTGGCGCAGGCTGACTGGCAGGGGCTGGGCCCACAGGCCACCTGGCAGCAGGGGCTGGACACGCAGCTCACTGGGGTGCAGACGAGGGTCTGGCAGGAGGCTGGTGCACAGCAGCTGGGGACACAGCAGGTGGACGGGCAGCAGCTAGGGACACAGCAGGAGGGCTGACAGCAGCTGGGGGCACAGCAGGTGGAGGGGCAGCAGCTGGGAACACAGCAGGAGGGCTGGCAGCAGCTGGGGACACAGCAGGAGGGCTGGCAGCAGCTGGGGGCGCAGCAGGAGGGCTCACAGCAGCTCTCTGGACAGTCGTCCACCTGCCAGGGGGCGTCGGTGCAAGAGTCACTGGAACCGGGCAGGCAGACGCGGCTGCCGTAGCTCAGGTTACTGGAGCAGACGGACAGGGTGGAGGCGGCCATGGCGGGGCGGTGGGGCTGGAGGTGAGCTGGGAGGAGAGTATGGGTGTGTGAGTGTGGATGTGAGGTTGTGAGAGCTGCTGAGGGTGGCTGGGCTTATATACAGCTCAGGGGCGTGTGTTTCCCATCATCACGAGGGCACGGGAGAGCCTGTTTCCTTGTTGTTGTTGGAGCAGGCCCCTGAGGACGCTTGCCATGGACCCACGGAAGGCAGCTCAACTTACTAAAGCCCTGAGAGGTCGGAGCTCAGGGCCCACGGAACTGGGGAGCAGGGAGGCATCAATAGCTGGGCCAGACCTGGTCACGGACACAGGAGGGCCAGCCATCCTGACAGCCCCACTCTGAGCACCTTTCTGGGGCTTCTTACTCTTATTTCTCCTATTTCTCAATACTCAGTTGAATCATAAGCATATTTTGTCCTTCTTTTTTATATCCTCTTTTTTAGGATGTAATTCTCTCCAGAATCCATAAACCAATGAATAGTTTGGGAGCTATGTTTATTTTTATTGTATTAGCAAACACTTAAATAATAGCTCTTGCTATGCCAGCAACTGTTCTGAGCAACTTAATGTATATTAACTCTGCAACCGTCACAATAGCCTTGTGAAGTAGGAGTTGTTGTTATTCCCACTTTATAGATGGGGAGACTGAGCCACAGCTAAGAACTTGCACCAAAACCACACCAGCAAGCAGAAGAGCCCAGATCGGAGCCCAGGTGGGCCTGTGTTCTTACCCAGAGAGCAGAGAGGAAAGACACGAGAAGTCTGAATTCCGTGGGAGAGGGGGGATAAATTGAAGTTGGGTTAGAAACTATGGAATGAGGGACATGCGGAAGTGTACAGTGGGTGCTCTGAGAAAGGAGCGTCTATGGAAAGTGAGAAAACGAACGTTCATTTACCTGCAGGAAGGAAAGGGGATGATGTGAGGGTGAAGGGAAGCCACCGTCCACAAGGGTTGTCTAGGAGGCTGGGAGGTTTCTTTTGGGAGGCAAGTTTTTAAAGGCATGAACAAAGACAAGTCTATCAACAGTAATTGAAAAATAAAAATTAAAAAAAAGAACAAAGACATTCTACACACAGGGGTGTCCAACCCTCGGTCCTCAGGCCACGTGCGGCTCAACACAAGATTGTAAATTTACTTAACATATTATGATTTTTTTGGTGTGTGATTACATGTCACAATGTATTTAATGTGTGGCCCAAGACAACGCTGCTTCTTCCCATGTGGCCCAGGGGCACCGAAAGGCTGGACACCCCTGTCACAGCCTTCTTTATTGAGAACTCTGTGGACCTCGGCCAGAAGGGGACTAAAGTAAAGGGGGGCTGCTTGGCTAGACCCAAAGAGTCAGAGGGAACCTGACGCTCCCAGGTGATGGGAGAGGCGAGGGCGGGCGGGGTGAGATGGCTCTCTGAAGCAGGAAGCCCAGATCCACAGGTTTGCCAATGATGGCGGTGTGAACATCCCCATCGTGGCTGATTCCAAGCTGTCAGCAGTAACAGCTGGCTTGCAGAAGTCCTGGCTGCGGCACAGCTGGCTTTCATAAGCTGCATGAGCTGGCACGCCCAGGGGCCAGGGACGTGGAGAAGAAAGGGGTCTCAGGTGATGAGGGTCCTGGCCACCCTGAGGGCGTCTGAGCCAAGTTGGGGCCTGGCACATGGGAGGCCCCTGGTATGTGGCCTTAGCATAATGTCCTCAAGGCTCATGAATCAGAACTTCTTGTATTTTCATGATTGTGTAATAGTCCATTGTATGGATGTACCCATTGTGTTTATCCATTCATCCGGTTATTTACACCTCTTGGGTACTGTGAATAAGGCTGCAAACAAGATTTGAGCCTCCCTTTTAGTTCTATTGGATATATTCTTAGGAGAGGAATTTCTGGGTCATGCGGTAATTCTATGTTTAACTTTTTGAGGAACTACCAACAACGTTTCCACAGTGGCTGCACCATTTTATTTTCCCACTGGAAATTTTTGAGGGTTTCAGTCCCTCTTCAACACTTGTTAGTGTCTTTCTTTTTTTTAAAAAAAAATTGTAGCCATTCTAAGAAGTATGAAATGGTATCTCATTGTGGTTTTGATTTGCATTTTCTTAGTGACTAACGTTGTCGAGCTCTTTTTCACACACTTTTTGGCCATTTGTGTATCTTTGTTGGAGAAATGTCTATTTGAGCCCTTTGCCCATTTTCCAGTTCAGGCGTTTGTCTTTTTGATGTTGAGTTGTAGGGGTTCTTTATATATTCTGGATATTAAACTCTTATAATACACATGATTTGCAAATATTTTCTCCTGTTCTCTATATTGTCTTTTCCCTTTTTTTTTGATAATGTCCTTTGAGTCACAAAAGTTTTAAATTTTGAGGAAGTCCATTTTTTTCTTTTGCTGTTCTTGCTTTTAGTGTCAAATCAAAGAATCCGAGGTTATGAAGCATTTCCCCTATGTTTTCTTCTAAGACGTCTTTGGTTTATCTCTTACATTCTAGCTGTTGATCCATCCTGAGTTCATTCTTACGTATGAGATGAGGCAGGCGATCCAACTACATTCTTTTTGCCCGTGGAAATCTCGCTTTCCAAGTATCTCTTGTTGAAAAGATGATTTTTAGCCCATTAAATGGTCTTGAAACCCTTGTCAAAAATCAATTGACCATAAACATATAGGTTTATTTCTGGTATCTCAATTCTATTCCATTAGTCTCATAGAAACTTTTGTTTTTCATCTAGTTAAAATTTTTCCTTGACAGAAGTAAAGATTTAAATGTACATATACCATGAGCATAACTTTTTTTAGGCAATGAATTGACGTTTCCTCATAAATTTAGAAATCCTTTGCCAGCACCTTGTTTAGGGCAAGAACTGAGGAGGGGCCGTGATCTCGCCCTGCCCTCAGTTTCCAGCTGCCCCTGGGGCCTGGCACATGGAGGGGTCCCCTGTGCACGTCCGCCTTTCCCCAGTGGAGAGGGGTGTTGTGCACGTAGCGGTGGTGCTGGCCGGGCTGAGTCGGGGGCAGGAGGGCTCGCTGTCATCCTGGCCCGGTGTCGTCAGCCTGGAGCAGCCCTGGGCCCCGGGGCTCGGAGGGCGAGGCTTTCTCACACTCCCTGCCAGTCCCACCGGGGCAGCCCGACTCCGCTTTGCGTGTGTGGGGGTCACTGTGAGTCTCCAGCCGCCCTGTTGTCAGGATCCCTCAGGGTACCAGGGACCCTGGGGCCAGGCCTGTTTTCCGTCCTCCACTCAGCCGAAGGGTGGGAAAGGTCGCATGGGATCCAGGTCACCCTGCCACACTCCCGTCCCGGAGTTCAGGGGCTTCATTGAACACGTTTTTCATCTGCTACGCGTACAAACTGGAGGCCCGCTGAGGACTCAGGGTGGGAGAGGGGCAGGTGTGGCCCCTTCCGCAGGGGGAGCAGCTGGGTAGGAGGCTCGCGATCAGCAGCAGGAAGGGGTGCCCTGGGAGACGGGTCTGCAGACCAGGGTGGGGCAGGAGGGCTGGACTCACCCAGAGGGCTGGCCGGAGGAGGCCACGCACACGGCGGGCTTGCAGTTCACAGGCGGGCACACGGAAGAATGGCAAGAGGGCGCCATGCACACAGTGGGTTTGCAGCTCACGGGCACGCAGCAGGTGATCTGGCCGCTCACAGGCACATACACAGCTGGCTTGCAGTTCACGGGCGGGCACGCGGAGGACTGGCAGGAGGGGGCCGTGCACATGATGGGCTTGCAGCTCACAGTCAGGCACACGGAGGACTGGCAAGAGGGCGCCATGCACACAGTGGGTTTGCAGCTCACGGGCACGCAGCAGGTGATCTGGCCGCTCACAGGCACATACACAGCTGGCTTGCAGCTCACGGGCAGGCACACGGAGGACTGGCAGGGGCTGGGCGAGCAGCAGCCAGCCTGGCAGCCAGCGGAGCAGCTGGTGTGGCACATGCTGCCGTGGGCCTGGCCGGTGTGGGAGTGGAGGGCGGCGGTGACTGCACGGCCCTTCCCTGGCGGCCTTTCTCCCCGGGCCGCGGCCGTCCCGGCACGACTGTTGCTCCCCACGGCTGTGTGCGCGTTTCCCCAGCATCCGCCTTCCTGGGACGCGCTGCCCTGTGTTAGGCCCCCGTGTGTAAGCTTGGCTTTGAGGCCCGGCTCCCCTTCTGTAAACAGGGTGATCTGGTTTGACGACATGGGCCTCGCAGGGTTTCCCCAGGCCACTGTCGCACACAGAGCACCTCTGGCTCGTCTCAGGGTGCTGCTATGTCCTCTCAGTCGTTTCTGTCTCGTGCCATCAACGAAGACCTGAGGCAATAATGTAGGCTGGACTTGTATTCAGCGCGGGAAACGTTAAAGCAGGAGCCTGCAAACCGAAGTCTGCCGTAGGGATCTGGCCTGCGGCCCATTTGTTAATGGATATCTCACCGGCAGCAGCCTCGCCTGTCTCTGCAGATGCCTAGGGCTGCATGTACACGAGCTCGCTGAGAACTTGTGGGAGGGACAGTGTGACAGCGAAACCTGAAGTGCTTGTTTATGCAACAAATGGTATATTCCGTGTGCCGGCCCTGGAGACGTGCTGGCCCCGTGAGCCTTCCAGGGAGATGAATAAATGAGTGACTGGAAGAATTAATGCACGACATCATTCCAGGGAGGGCTGGGTCCCAGGTAGAGAGTGAGGGGGTGCTGGGGGGTGGCTGGGGGCCTCCAGGGAGCAGCTGCCGAGCTGCACTGGGTGATGTGCAGGGTCAGGGCCGGTGTCCCAGGCAGGGGCTCCACAGGGTGTGGGGACCCTGCTGCAGAAGCGGGGGGCAATCCCACCACCTGGGGTGCTGGGGCACAGGCGCAGATGGGCAGATCCAGGCCATGCCACCCGAGCTGGTAGAACACAAGAGAGTTGGGGCACTTGACACGTCAGTAGGAATTATCCAATCTGAAGGAGAGGGGAAAGGAACTGAGAAGAATAAAGAGGGCCCCTGAGACAACATCAAAAAGACGGACATCCAAGTACCTTTAACCCAAGAAGAGGAAGAGAATCACATTGAAACATAAGATTATCTTGGAGAAATATGGACGAAATTCCCAAATTTGATTGAACTAATTCTAACTTACGGGGGGAAGACCCTCCGAACCCCAAGGCCCCAGCATAGTTGGGCATAATGGTAAAGACCACGGATTCCAGAGGGAAACCGAGCAGCTGCGTTCACCTGCCTTCCTCCTGCTGTGGCAGGACGTGCACATGTCACCCGTCCCGGAATGGGGGCAGGATCGATAAGCAATCAATTGTGAGACAGTCCATGCAAAACACTTAGCACAGCCCCTGGCACCAAGCTAGATCTGTTACTGTTTTGCAGTGTCGTGGCCCTTGCACACCCCACAAGGAGCCCCATAGCATGGCTTTTGTAGTTTGGGAAGATCTTCTGGATCATTGAGTTTCCAAATCAAAATGGGGGACCCCCAGTGCAGTGAGCATGAGTGTGCTGTGGGGACAGAGGACAGGGTGTTTAATACTGGGGAGGACCTTGAAAATCATGATGGATCCATCCCTTGTCCCCAGCTGATAGCTCTTCACCATTCGACTTGGGCTTTGGTTCCAGAAATCACAAGACCACTGGGTCACAGTGATCTCCAACCAAAAAGGAGCTTCCTGCACTGAGTCACTTCAACCAGGAGGAGACCCATGGAAAGGGAAGAGGAGGAAAACCCAGCCAGGTGGCCACAAGGAGGGCGCATGTGGCTCGTTTGCTGGGACGCTGTGGCCTGGTGAAAAGGCAGCCTGCGCACAGAGCCCGCAGACCAGCCCGTTCGCTGCACTGGCCCCACTCCAGGCCCACACCGCCATGTGCCGCACTAGCTGCTCCATGGGCCCCAAGGGCTGTGCCCCGCCCGCTGGCCTCCCGGGGCAATGGGAGGTGGTGCCGGCCTGTGCACAGCTCAGCCGCCTCTTGCCAGCCAGCCTGCAGCTGCCCGTTCCTATGTTGCCCAGCAGCCTATAGCCAGGCCTCGCCCTGCAGCCTAGTCTGCTGCGTGCCCAGCCCCTGCTGGGCGCCCGGGCGGCCTGTTGCATGCCTGCAAGCTGCAGTCCCATTGCGTGCGCGGCTCCCTCCTGCCAGCCTTCTGGACGCCGCAGGCATTTCTGCCTCGCCCTCATCTGCGGACCAGTCCCCTGCAGCACACCTTCCTGATGCTGAGCTGGTGACATCCAGGACCCCTCCTCGTAGGGTCAGGAGCAGCTGGTTTGTATGGTCTCCTATGAGGCCGCCCAGACGTCAATGTCAGACCTCTGGATCTGACTAGACCACCTTGCGGCAAGGCCGTTTGATCCCAGCCAGCCAGGCTGAGGGGCTTGTCTCCAGTGCCCCTGGCTGGGCCTGGTTTGTCCCATACTGTCAGGTGCCAACATCCAGGCCCTGCAGCCACCAGCATCCAGGCCTAATAAATATCAGCGTACGATGCTTCCCCAACTGCAGCAACCTCTCTACTTCAGAATCTTTCTCTAAATGGCTCCTCTGGAAGTGGTTTCCTGAGGATTCTGGAAAGTTCCTTCTACAGAGAGGGCCCAGGTTACCATAGCTGTGCCCAGGACTGACGACTGAAAGGCCACCTCTGAGGTGACAGGCATGCTCCTAGTGCCCAGCCACATGGGACTTCCTTCGTCCCATGTCATTCCTTGAATTTACAAGGTCAGTTCTTAGCCTGCTGTGGGTGGGGCAGAGGGTTAATCACTACCTTTCTGATGGTCTCCAGCTCCCACTCTAACGAAAGTCAAAACTGCACGCGCCATTGGGAAGTGTGGCTCCTCCTTCTCCCAGTTGGCGGGAGAGAGCTTGGGGGCAGCTTCTGTCTCCCCCAATGCCCTACTCCCACAACCTCTGGACATGTTCCTTACAGGCAAAGAGGCTTTGAGGGTGGGGGTGAATTAAGGATTTTGCAGTGGGAGATGATCCTGGGTCAACCAGAGTCCCGATGTCATCCCAGGGACCTATGAGGGGCACAGCGGGGACTGGGCTGCAGAAGAAAAGGCCCCAGGAAGACGGGAGCAAGACACTAGGCTGCCGGTGTGGAGCATGCAAATGTGGAATGAGGTGGGGACTTCTAGAAGCTGAAAGGGACAAGGGGCAGATCCTGTCCCAGAGCCTCCCGAAGGGTCCAACCCTGCCCACACCTCGATTTCAGCCCATGGAGACCCAGGCCACGTTCTGGCCTCCGCAGCTGTGAGACAATACATTTGTGTTGTTTTAGCCACTGCATTCGTGGGCATTTGTGCTGGCCACAGGACAGATCCAACCTTTCTGTTGCACAGTTTCCGACGTCCACTCTTCCTCCATGATGCTGCTGACCACAGCGTGACCGTCAGGGACGGGAGAGGCGCAGGGGAGGAGGAGGCAGCGTCCGCAGCAGGTTGCAGCTGGTTCCCCGCTCTGCTGCGGGGGCTTTGAGCCCCTGCTTCCTCTGCGGGGCCCTCTTGCGGGGCCCTCTGCCCCATGCCCACTAGCCAGGGGAGGAGGTCCCGTTCCAGGTGGCCCACTCCCTTCTCAGGTGCTGGGCAGCAGGGCTCCTTTGCCTGGGTCTGTCCTGCTTGGCCTGAGCCCACCTCATCCCCGTCCCCAAGGGTCCCTCTGGAGAGTGGTGGCTCTCAGGCAGCACTGCCCTTAGTCCTCTGACCCACGGAGCATCCAGCACAGACTCTGGCCCTGTTGGTCCTCCCTGCAGGGGACACTGTCACACGCATCCTGACCAACAGAGCTTCTGCTGCTCCTCGACTCACCCCGAACCTGGATGGGCAAGGGGCCGGGTGTGGGCAAGACCCACGTCCCCTTGGGGTCCCTGCCTCCGGCACCTGCGCCCGCTTCCTTGGAGGGCTGTCCACTGCGGGGAGGGTGGGCCACTGGGGTCGGGAAGGGAGACGAGTATGCAGATGGCATCGCTCTCAGATCTTGTTGCTCGGCTGCTCTGACCTCGGATTTGAGAACACGTCTTTATGGTCTGGCTTCCGCCACATGGAGCACCCACAGCCCAGGTTGGAGTCTCAGGAGCTCAGGGGAAGAAGGGAAACCAAACACACATTTCCTGGCACAAGCATTTTATTGATTATAGCAATTAGCCATCATCACATAGAAAGCAAGCAGCCAGCCCTGGAGAGGAGGGTCCAGGGGTCTGCACTCCACCCCAGTGAGGGATTTGTGGGTCCTCTTTTCTCAAAAAGGTGCAGGTGGCATGTTTAATCTGCACTAGGCAGCACCTGTGTGTCCGCCGATGGGAGAGGGGAGGTCCAGGCATGAGCAGAGGGGCCGCAGGGGCTCCGGGGAGAGGAGGACTGTGCTCAGGAGCGGGGGCAGCAGCTCAGGGTCAAGCTGGTCAGCAGCAGGATGTCTGGGCCGAGGCTGGGACGCAGCAGGCCGGGCGGGAGCAGGTGGGGCGGCAGATGAGGGACACGCAGGAGGCCGGGCGGCAGCAGCTGGGCTGGCAGCAGGAGGGGCCACAGCAGGAGGAGACGGGCACGCAGCAGGCGGGTCTGCACACGGGGCGGCAGATGAGGGACACGCAGGAGGAGGGCCTGCAGCAGGCCGAGGGGCAGGGGGTGGGCTGGCAGCACGAGGAGGCGGCCCCAGAGCAGACGGGCACACAGCACGCGGGCCTGCAGCAGACGGGCGTGCAGCACACGGGCCTGCAGCAGATGGGCGTGCAGCAAGCGGGCACACAGCAGGCCTGCTGGCAGGGGGAGGAGGTGCAGCAGGAGGGCTGGCAGCAGGAGGGCAGGCAGGAGCTGGCGCAGGCTGACTGGCAGGGGCTGGGCCCACAGGCCACCTGGCAGCAGGGGCTGGACACGCAGCTCACTGGGGTGCAGACCAGGGTCTGGCAGGAGGCTGGTGCGCAGCAGCTGGGGACACAGCAGGAGGGCTGGCAGCAGCTGGGGGCGCAGCAGGTGGAGGGGCAGCAGCTGGGGGCGCAGCAGGAGGGCTCACAGCAGCTCTCTGGACAGTCGTCCACCTGCCAGGGGGCGTCGGTGCAAGAGTCACTGGAACCGGGCAGGCAGACGCGGCTGCCGTAGCTCATGCCGCTGGAGCGGACGGACAGGGTGGAGGCGGCCATGGCGGGCAGCGGGGCTGGAGGAGGGTGTGAGGGTGTGAGTGTGTGTGAGTGTGTGTGTGAGGTGCCTGGGCTGTCTGTCGCCTTTTATACCCTCCCTGGCTCGTGTTGTCCCACTGAGCGGCTCCCCACGCCTTCCCTTCCTTGTTGGTGCTGGAGCCTCTTGCAGGAGAGGCCTCATTAGTGCCGGTTTATTTCCTGCAATTAGTTTTACTCAGTGCACTTGTGAGTATGTTGCAGGATGTTTCCCATCTCTCCTTGTTTGGCTCCAGAAAACTTATGGAAAATATCTGAGGCAAGTTTTTGCTGAGTTGATATTAAGCTGTGACTACTCCCCAGCGATGAATTCTCATTCCATCTCTCCTGCGTTTGTAGGGGTTTAATGTTTTTTATGCATGTAAGCATTTTAAAATATAAGTATCCAATGAAACTTGCTCATCTTATAAAATATATTTGTAAACAGGATTGGGTCACAGAAAGCTTCTGTTCCGGCCTTTGTAAGGGGTGTCAGCGTCCTGGGAACTAGTTCTTCCTCTTTTCTCTTCTTTTCCCCCATAACACACTCAGATGCCTCCCTTTGCCAGACTGCAAGCTGTACTCTGTTGTTGTTTTTTCCCCCATTTTCATTTTGCCATGGTAAAAGATCAAAGGCTTTTTCATACATGTTGGTGGGTTTTACATTCGAAGATTCCTTCTATGTCTGGAAATACATTGAGTTACCTTCACACTCATTATGATAGTTTGACCGGGTAGAGAATTCAGGTTTGTTTGTTTGTTTGTTTTTAATCCTCATCCGAGGACTTTTTATTTTTTTTCCATTTCTTTTAGAGAGTGGGAAGGGAGGAAGGGAGGGAGAGAAACATCAATTGGTTGCCTTCTCATACACGCCCAACTGGGGATCAAACATGCAACCTGAGTATGTGCCCTGATCAGAAATCAAACCTGGGACCCTTTGGTTTATGGGAGGATGCTCCAACCAACTGAGCCACTCTAGCCAGCGTGAGAATTCAGGTTTTAAGTAACAGTTTCCTCAAAACAGCAAAGACATATTTGCATTTTCTCATGGTGTCCAGTGTTCCTGTTGAGAGTGAAGATGTCATTTGTTATTTCTTTATAGTTTGTTTGCCTACTTATTTATTTATTTAACTCTCCAAGAGCATTTGCCCCTCTTTCCTTCCTTCTTCTACAACGTTGTGTTTTGGTTTCTAGGCTTGTGTGTTGCTTTATGTTCTGCAGTTAGAGCTCGTTGAGCCTTTCGATGTGAGGGCCCATCCCAGGTCCTGCTTACACTTTCATACTATTTAAAAATGAGTCCGTCTTTCCAGGTCTCTGCTTTTGTGACTCCTATTAGACATCAGATCTTCTGGAACTTGTCTACATAGGTCTCAGTTTTTCTCTCATTTTCCTTTCGATTATCATTTGCTTTCCTCTCTAGGAGATTTTTTCTTGATTTTATCTTTCAGACTACAGTTCGGTCTTTCATTTCTTGCCTTTCATTGGGCTTTTGCATTGACTTTCCTCTTAATTTTTAAAAATCTTTTAAAAAATTTTTCAATTAAAGTCAACAGACATTACTATATTAGTTTCAGGTGTACACCCCAGTAATTAGACATTACGTAACTTACTAAGTGGTCATCCTGATAAATCTTGTTCCCCTAACTTTTATTTTTCAAACATGGATTATTTACTTTTCGAAAGCAGCTTGGTTTCGTCCCATGGTGTGAATGAGGTACCTCCCCGTAACTCTGACGGTGTCAGCGTGCGTTCATACAAGCTTTCCATCATTTCCTAAGCGATCTGTCTCACTGGACGTCAGATAAGGCTGTTCCTTGGTGTCAGGCACCTGATTTTCGGCATAAAAGACCAAGCAATTTTATTCTCATGCACTGGGGTCAGTTCCATTTACACTAACCTGTTTCCCTCTGCTTCTCTTTTTCACAAACATATAAAGAGTCCTGGTGAACCCTCTCCTTGTCGTTATGCTGTTTTGATCTTGTCTTTCTCATAACCTTGGAATATCCTTCAAGGGGTTCTGAGGGGCTGTGTGAGAACCACTTGCCACCTCCACTTTGCAGAGCAGAAGGAGCTCGTGCTGCTTTAGGGAAATGATGGAAATGTTAACGACAACTGCAGGGCTCTGTGGCTTCAGGGGGCTTTACTCTTAGACATGAGCCCCAACAGCCCGAGTGCTTTCCAAAGGCAACCGACGTGTATGTGACAACCCACTTTTATAGACACAAAAATGCTGCCAGAAGGAAAGTGTCCTGTGAAAGAGGGCCATGATCAGCAGGAAACCTGAGACCCCAGGGTCTGACGTTTCTCTCTTGGCCACAGGGGGCTCTGCTTCGTCACTCCCCCCACGCCCTTGCTCCTACCCTGGGCAGCCTTGGGTTGTGTGGGTGGGAGTGGGGAGGGAATGTGGGCTCGAGCCTAGGGGCATGTGGGAAGGCTGACGCTGGCTTCTGGGATGAGTATAATGGTTTCCTCTACTATGCCCCCAGCTGTCCCAGGGTCCAGCTTAATCACATGGGTGTTAGCACTCTCTGCATCTTCCGTTTCTCGCCTGTGACCCATGCCTTTCATGTAGCTCCCTTTTCTGTGGCTGTGGACCCCCTGTGTCATTGGCCAAGGTGTCTTCCCACTGCCACTGCTCGAAGCGCAGCTCTTCAAGGGGCCGAGCTGACCTGGGGTCAGTCCCGGTGGCCCTCACGGGGTCGGCTTTCTAGATCAGGCAGCCTTTGGTAGGGGCTGGCAGGGCAGGTTCAGCAAAAGAGCAAATGATCAATTGATTTTTGAAAACAGAAAAAAGTCTCTGGGCATCTGAATGAGAGCTGCAGCGTTGGTTCACTGGCCCTGGCTGGGCCGTGGCTGGGGAGGCGCTAGAGGGGAGAGAGTGGAGGACTGCGGGGCAGAAGCCGCCCCCACGCACGTTTCCTTGCCCCCACCCAAGTGCGTGCTTCCCTTTCCTCCCGCTCCTGTATCAGTGAGGGCGGACCACGAAGGCCCTTGTGTCTTGCTCCTGGAGCTGGTGGCAGCGCCACCCGGGGCTCACGGCTCAGCGGGTGTTTCTGTTGCTGCAGAGTTCTCACTGTGTTCTCGAAGCTTCTCTGTGTTCCTGGTTTTCCCAGAGTTTTGCTTTGGGCTTTTATGCAAAGACTGAGGTGAATCCTCTGTGTGTGTGTGTGTGTGTGTGTGTGTGGTGTGTTAACGTATAATGAGTTCTGATGGCTTTCCTGCTTCCATTTATTTATATCATTTCTAACTTGCATTCTGGGATATACTCTACTTGATAATGACTTATTATTCTTTTCATGTAGTTTCCTGTTGAATCTGTTAACATTTTAGTTAGAATCTCCTACTTTATATTCTTAAATGAGTTTGGTCCACAGTCAGGTTCTCTTTTTTCCCCCCGTCTTTCTCTCGTTGCTGGTTTGGTATGTCAACTGATGGTCGTTGGTGCCAATTCAGTGCCAATAAGAATCCCCAGTCTGGGGTACAGTGAAGACGGAGACTTTCTTCAGGGCAAACAGCTCAGTTGTGACACAGCGGGGCTGTGGGCGGCCCCGGGGCCAGGCCTGTGTCCAGCTGGACAGCTCTGCTCTGGTCCTCGGTGGCCCGCTCCACTCTGCTCCTGTGAGAGGCATCAGGGTTTTGCCAGCCTTACGAGGTGAACCCAGAACACTTCTGGCTCATTTTAAGCTCTGGAATGTTGTAAATATCACAAGAAAAAACTGTGTTGAAGGCGGATGGTCTACACCTTTAAAACTTTCCAAGTCTGTGCCTTTGAAATTTAGATCTTTACACTTAGTTTCAACATTTTCTTCAGATACCCTTGCATTAAAAATTTTATTTTGTTAATGTAGGTAATTTACATTTTTTTTAGAACATGGTATATTTTGCTTATATTTTCAAATTGGAAATGGAACAAGGTTTTGATTTTTTAAAAAACAGATTTACTAAGACAGAACCTGCATGCCATAAAGTTCACCCACTTAATGTGCACAACCCATGGCTTTTAGTGTATTTAGGGAGCTGTGCAACCATCACCGTTATTTAATTTTAGAGCTTCCCCCACAGCCCCCAGACCTAGTAGCCATCATTCCCCTTTTTCTCCTCCACTCAGCTTCTGGCAACGGCTAATCCAGTTTCTACCTCTGTGGATTCTCCTACTCTGGACATTCCTCATAAACGGAATCAGCACGTGGCCTTTCCTGCCTGGCTTCTGTCGCTCAGCACGATGTCCTCAGGGTTCACCCCCGGTGTAGTGTGTCCGAACGACACTCCTTTTCACGGCCGAGTAATATTCCAGCATGTGGCCAGACCACGTTCGAGTTGTTCCCACTTTGTGGTTATCGTGAACAGTGCGGCTATGAACATTGGCGTATGAGTTTTTGGTTGGCACTGGTTTTCGATTCTAACTACTAGATGCCTAGAAGTGGACTAGTTGGGTCATATTGTGACTCTGAGTCTAGCATTTTGAGGAACTTTCCCAAAGTGGCTGCATCTAGAATTGAGGTTCTGAGGAAGCAGAAGAAGACCCCTGCTGGGGCATTCACCGAGGACACAGCTGAGACGTCTTGTGAGAAGTGGTCCCAGGAAACCAAGGCAGGCTGGGTCCTGTCTGTACCTGTGACGACAGTGCACAGAGGTGGCAAGACCAAGTGCAGGGGGTCAGGGAGTGAGCCCTGGGCCCCGCACCACTGTCCGCTCCGACCCCAGGTGGCAGAGGGCGCAGAGAGCAGGCGACCAGGACCACTGTGTGCTGAAGCCCCAGGACGAAGATTTCGGCCCCAGCAGCCTCCCTAGAACCACAGCAAGAAGACCCACATTTCTGTCCTGGGTGCCCTCATTTTGTCCCTTTGCAGGGACCTGGCTTTGCTTCCAGGAAGGTGGACAAGTCTGTGTCGGTTTGGTATCTGCCCCTGCTGCCTATCCTGGGGATTCTGCTTCAGGGGGAGGTGGCCGTTGTGGCCTCAGCAAGCACAGTGGGCGGGGACCGGGGCCAGAGGGGCTGGATGCGGGTCTCCCCTGCTGTCCCTGCCTGGTGACGCGGCTCATTGCATGGGCCGGTTTACAGGGGCAGGGCGAGGCTGAGGATCTTGGATGGGCACAGCTGCCTGGCAGAGGGAGTGTCTGAGCACAGACCAGAGGCAGAGGCAGATGCCAAGGGGCTGCCCAGAAGAGGCCTGGGGACCCTGGGAGTGTGGGACGGATGGGTGAGCGCACCGGCGTGAGGCACAGACACCGGGGGGCCACGTACAGTAAGAGTGGGATGGGGCTTGGGGAGCAAGGGGGCGTGAGGGTGACAGACAGGGATGCGAGCCCAGGAACGGGGTTTGGGAGGCAGCTGGGAGCTCCGCAAATCTCTAGGGGAGGCTGCACGGGGCTGGCTCCTCAGTCAGTGGGTACTGTTAACCTTGCTGCATCTTTATCGCCACCAGCCATGCCTGAGAAAAGGCCAGGAAGAGCCCAAGGCTGCTGGGTGTCATTCCTGGACGGGGCTCTCCTCTCATGTCTCACTGGGGTGGGGGCGCGGGGTGAGCTGGAGGAAGGCCGCCTTGCCAGGCCGCCCAGGCGTGCGCTGCAGGCCTCGGGCCGGCCTAGGGGCGGGGGGGGGGGGACCAGGTGGGTGAGGCCCCCCGGGGGTGGGGCCTGGCACAGACACGGTGCCTGCATCTGGGGACGGCCACTGCTGTGAAGGCAAGGGTGGCTCAGGGGCCCATGGCTGCTGCCATGGGGTGGCAGAGGTGACCACAGTGTCCCACAGCCCCTGGCCTTGGTTCCAGAGACAGCTTTACAGACAGAGACCTGGGGGCTGTGTGCTGGGATTGGGGTCCCACATAACTGTAGAGGGGGCTGGCTTGTAGGGTTCACAGAGGCCAGCGCCTGGTGCACCTCATCACTGTCCCCATTGTCCACAAACAGAAAGTCAGAGTGAAACAGATGGCTTTATTAGGACTCAAAGGTGACATTACTGCCTGGGGTGGGACCAGGCCTGCTGGGGCAAGAGGACTCACACAGGGGCCCACAGGGCAGGGGTGGAGCTAGGGTGGGGCATCTGGTCGCCAGCAAGAGGAAGGATTTGGTGGGTATCGAGGGGCCCTGAAGGAGGGGCCAGGTGAGAAGAAGCCTGTCCTGTCCGTTGATGTTGTGAAAGCCAGAGGGGTGCATCAGGCTGGGAAGTCAGCCTACTACTGGGAAAGGGTCCTGGAGGAGGCTTAGAAAGAGTCAGCAGCAGGACTTCTGGGCTGAGGCAGGGACGCAGCAGGCCGGGCGGGAGCACGCACGGCGGCAGAGCAGGGACACGCAGGAGGCCGGGCGGCAGCAGCTGGGCTGGCAGCAGGAGGGGCCACAGCAGGAGGAGACGGGCACACAGCAGGCGGGTCTGCACACGGGGCGGCAGATGAGGGACACGCAGGAGGAGGGCCTGCAGCAGGCCGAGGGGCAGGCGGTGGGCTGGCAGCACGAGGAGGCGGCCCCAGAGCAGACGGGCACACAGCACGCGGGCCTGCAGCAGACGGGCGTGCAGCACACGGGCGTGCAGCAGGCCTGCTGGCAGGGGGAGGAGGTGCAGCAGGAGGGCAGGCAGGAGCTGGCGCAGGCTGACTGGCAGGGGCTGGGCCCACAGGCCACCTGGCAGCAGGGGCTGGACACGCAGCTCACTGGGGTGCAGACGAGGGTTTGGCAGGAGGCTGGTGCACAGCAGCTGGGGACACAGCAGGAGGGCTGGCAGCAGCTGGGGAAGGGGGTGACAGCAGCTGGGGGCACAGAGGTGGATGGGGAGAGGGGCGCAGCAGGTGGATGGGCAGCAGCTGGGGACACAGCAGGAGGGCTGGCAGCAGCTGGGGGCGCAGCAGGTGGATGGGCAGCAGCTGGGGACACAGCAGGAGGGCTGGCAGCAGCTGGGGGCGCAGCAGGAGGGCTCACAGCAGCTCTCTGGACAGTCATCCACCTGCCAGGAGGAGCTGGTACAAGAGTCACTGGAACCAGGCAGGCAGACGCGGCTGCCATAGCTCAGGTCGCTGGAGCAGACGGACAGGGTGGAGGCGGCCATGGCGGGGCGGTGGGGCTGGAGGTGAGCTGGGAGGAGTGTGTGAGTGTGTGAGTGTGTGTGCGTGTGTGTGTGAGATGCTGGGGCTGCGCAGCTTTTATACCCTCCCGTGTGTGCATGTTGCCCAAGCAGAGGCCCACACGCCCTCCCTTCCTTGTTGGTGTTTGCACTGTGAACACCTTTATTATGGCCAGCCCTGTTGTCATGAGACGTTCTTGGTCATCTCATAAATTTTAGGTTGTCCTGGGCAGGGCTGGCTGTCCCTGGCCTGAGTCTGACACCTGCAGGGACACCTGGAAGGAAGCCGCTGCTTCTCTTTGGCTGACCCTGTAGCTCCCACCTGGCGAGTCGTGTGCCAGGGCACCAGGTGACATCTTGTCCTATGAGGACACACACTGTGTGGGCCAGCTTCTTTGTGCAGGCCCTCACCTGGGCTGGCAGCCTGGCCTGAGATTGTTAAAGAAGTAGATGGAGGCATCTGTTCTGGAGAAAGTCAACATGAGGACAGGCCCTTCCTGGGTGGGCTCTGTGACCTTCTATGACATTGGCTGAGGCCTGCGAGGGCAATGAGGCTGAGGACAGGCCAGGGCCTCCCCTCCCCAGGAAGGAGAGGAAGGCTTGCAGCTCATCTGGCTCCCTGGAGTGTTGGGAGGACCAGATTCAGGGCCTGACTTTTGGGTCCTAAAGCACATTCCTGAAGCCCTTGCATGCATGGTCGGTTGTCCTGGGAGAGCAAGTCTGGGTCAGGACCTGGGGGCGTGGTGGGGCGGGGTGAACATGGAGGAGGGGGCATTGATGAGGCTGGAGCAGAGAGGCTGGGGGACAACTGGTTATTGATGTAACTTCAGCCACAACTCAAAGGGAACCTTTATTGGATACAAATTGAGGATACTGAGCTTCTGGAAAATATTTGCCACATGCACGATACATGGAAGTTTAGTATGAACATTAAAAAGTTCTTACAACTAAAACAGAGTACAATACAAAAGAATCAAAGAAAAAATTCAAATCATTCGAATGTTCAATAACCATGGGCATATCTATTCGATCTCGATAACAATTGAAGTCTCTCAGATGAAAGCGCAGGTGTCCCACCTGTAAGATCGGCCGTGATTGACAGCGCGGACCTCGGCCAGGGCTGCTGAGTGTGGGGGCCTCGCTCTCGGCCGCCCTTAGAGGCAGCTGCCGTGCGTGTGTGGCGACACACGATATGGTAGTTACCATTCCCACCGCTTTGAAGTGTGTCCTCCGTGGCATTTAGTACAGTCACAGTGGGGTGCCATGTTGACCCCTCTCTAGTTCCAGAACATTCTCACCACTACAGAGGAAATCCTGTACCAGTAAGCAGTCCCTTCCTGTGCCTGTCAGTCGCCGCTCTGCTTTCTGTCTCTATGGATTTGCCCATTCTGCATACTTCCTCTTAAAGAAATCACACCATATGTGTCCTTTGGTGCCTGGCTCATTTCAGTGAGCATAAAGTATTCAAGGTTCATCGCATTGTAGCTCGTGTCAGCACTTTGTTCCTTTTTATGGGTCAGTAATACTCCATTGTGTGGATGGACCACATTTTGTTTATCCCTTCATCCAACAGTTGATGGAGATTTGAGTTGTTTCTACCTTTTGGCTGATATGAATAATGCTGCTATGAACATTTTTTGCATAGGTTTTTGTTTGAATACCTCTTTTCAATTCTCTTGGGTATACACATAGTAGTGGAATTGCTGAGTCATAGGGTAACTCTGTGTTTAACTTTTGAGGAACTGCAAGTTCTGCAGTGGCTGTACAATTTAATGTTATCAACAGCAATGTATGATGGTTCCATTTCTTCATATGCTTGCCAATGTTTGTTATTTACTTATTTTTTTAATTATAGCCACCTTAGTGGGTATGAAGTGACATCACGTTGAAATTTTGATACGTAGTTTCCAAACAACCAATGATATTGGTTCAACCAATGATCTTTTCATGTACTGGTGGCCATTTGTATATTTTCTTTGAAGAAATAGCCATTTTAATTACTTGTTTTTTGTTGTTGATTTGTGGGAGTCATTTATGTATGATGTATACTAGACCATTATCAGAATTATAATTTGCAAGTATTTCTTCCATTCTGTGGGTTGTCTTTTCACTTTCTAGATACTGTCCCTTAATACACAAAACTTTAAAATCTTGATGAAGTCCAACTTACTTATTTTTTAAATTATATTTTATTGATTATGCTATCACTGTTGTTCTGATTTTCCCCCTTTGCCTCCCTCCACCCAGCACCCCCGACTCCCTCAGGCAGTCCCCTGACCATTGTTCGACGTCCTTGGGCCATGCGTTTAAGTTCTTTGGCTCCATTTCCTACACGGTATTTTACATCCCCATGGCTATTCTGCAGCTACCTATTTGTATGTCTTCATTCCCTCACCTCTTCATGCATTCCTCCCACTCCCCCTCCCATCTGGAACCATCAAAACACTCTATGTATATCCATGATTCTGTTCTTACTGTTTGCTTAGTTTGTTTTTTAAATTCAATTGTTGATAGATAAGTACTTTTGCCATTTTATTGTTTATAGTTTTATCTTCTTTTTCTTAAATAAGTCCATTTAAATTTTCATATAATAATGATTAGGTGATGATGAACTCCTTTAGTTTTTTTTCTTGTCTGAGATGCTCTCTATCTGCCCTTCCATTATAAATGATAGCTTTGCTGGGTAGAGCAATCTTGGCTGTAGGTCCCTGCTTTTCATGGCTTTGAATATTTCCTGCCAATCCCTTCTAGCCTGCAAAGTGTCTTTTGAGAAATCAGCTGATCATCTTATGGGAACTCCCCTGTAGGTAACTAACTTCTTTTTTCTCTCTGCTTTTAAGATTCTCTCTTATCTTTAAACTTTGGCATTTTAATTATGTGTCTTGGTGTGGTCCTCTCTGCATCCATCTTGTTTGGGACTCTCTGTGCTTCCTGGACTTACATGTCTATTTCCTTCACCAACTTAGGGAAGTTTTCTTTCATTATTTTTGGCAATATCATCACCAAACTTTTTTATAGACAGGCCCAGGGGGCCGACCTTGGGGGCCAGGGAAGATGTAGCACTGCCTTCCCCACCAGTGCAGCTCAGGGGTACAGCTTTGATTTTTTGGGGTGCAAACTTTGGCAGCATGGAAGAGGGGGATAGTGTCTGACAAACCCAGATTCAGGGTGAGCAAAGAATGTTGCCACTAAGCCTCCTTCCAAGCCAAAAGCTGAAAGTGTGTTAGTTTTTATATATGGTATAAAGTAGGGTTTGTCTTCATTCTTTTGCTCATAAATATGAAGTACCATTTGTTGAAGAAACTACTCTTTCTTCATTAAATGGTCTTTATACTCCTGTTAAAAATCAATTGACGATATACTTATGGGTTTATTTCTGGACTCTCAATTTTATTCCATTGATCTATATGTCTATCCTTATGCCAGTAGCTCTGTTTTGATTACTGTAGCTTTGTTGTAAGTTTTACTTCTTTCTAACTTGAATATCTTGTCTTTTCTTGCTCATCCTGTCGAGAACTTCCAGTGCAGCGTTGAGTAGAAGCAGTAAAAGGGGCCATCCTTGTTTTGTTCTTTGCCTTCCCGGATGAGTAAAGCTGCTCACTGAACATTTGAACATCTTTTCCATTTGCTTGTTTTTGTAAAATAGCATTATTTGTATTTCTTCTGGATTTGTAGAAAATTATTATGTATTATGAGCACGAGTTTTTTGTTGTATATGTGCAATGGCATGCTGGTAAATGTTTAATAACTGGACGCCTGTGAAACAAAGCAAAAAGCCCTGATTTGTGGTGTTTGCCAGTTCCCACGGTGCAACTACTCTCCCATGAGTTCAGGTGCAGCATGATGTACCTCAACACCAGCCTGGGAAGTGAGGGGCCCAGTCAGCTCTCAGGAGCTCAGCACAGCACTGGGGGTATGTGCATTGCAAATCTCTCATTTAAGTCTGGGGCTTGTGTTTTTCATCCTCTTGTTTGTTTTCCTTTAAAAAGTCAACGTTATTTAGGTGTGGTTTACATACTGTGAAATGTACCTGTTCACACTCTAGGCCCTGTTTATTATGATCAGACTTGACATTTTTGGGGAGGAGTCAGGGACACCAGGCGCAGCCAGCATTCAGAGCCCGACCTAGTGGATCACGCAGGACGCGCTTAACTGCTCAGCGAAGAGCGTGACAGCATGTGTCAGATGGCTTCCTGGGAGCTTGTCAGAGGCCGAGCCCAGAGTTCTTATTGGGGCTGGTCACGTGGCATCTCTGCCCGGCATGTCCTCGAATTCCAGACTCCCAGAGGGAGAGCAGGGGACAGCACAGCCACCGTGGCTGAACCGCGGTTTAGCCCAGCGAGGTACTCGCTTCACACGGGCCGGGAGGCCTCCCGAAGTCCACGTTCCCCGGGGCCGGCCCAGGCCCAGGCTTGCAAGCAGGCCTAAAGATGTCCCCCCAGGCCTGCTGTGCTAACTCCTCCCTGAACGGGCCCTTTTGATCCAGGGACACCAAAGAGAGTCTGAGTCACCCCCGAAGGGTGGCCCCTTCCCAGGGCAGGCACTGCTGTCAGATTATTCAGCCTTTGTGTCCAGAAAGTGTGTCCATCTCTTGGACATACTTATGGCCAGAGTGATGGGGGACTTCCTGGCCACCACTGAAGGGGCAGGAACATGGTGGCCCAGGGGAATGACCCGGGACCAGCCTTACCTGGGGGATGTCAGGTAGGGGTCATTGTTGTAAATAACAGAAATGAATGCTGGTTAAATGCATCAGGAAAGGAATTTATTGGCAGGGATGGACAGCACGCAGCTGGGAGCGGGGCTGGGGGCCGGATAAAGACACCAGCAGAAGATGCAGTGCCGGCGCCGGGGCCGCACAAGGCCGAGGGGGTGAGGAGAGACCAGCTTCTCTCCCTTCACTCCACCCAAGGCTCCAAGGCCTGGGAGAGTCCAGCTGGCCTCCCTGGGGTCACTGCCAGCCTGGGCTGGGTGGCAGGGCACGTGGATTGGGGGCAAGTCCGTACATGGAGAAATGGGAGAGCTGTTCCCAGAGGGAGAAATGCACAGCAGTGGCCAGATGACCATAGACGCACAGTGCAGGGACCTATGAAGGGCACTTGACAGCTGCCTTGGCTCTCAGTAGAGAATCCTGAGGGTGCAGATGGCAGTGAGCTTTTGAGGTCTGGGGCGCCTCTAAGAAGATCACTCAGCAGCAGGACTTCTGGGCCGAGGCAGGGACACAGCAGGAAGGGCGGGGGCACGCGGGGCGGCATATGAGGGACACGCAGGAGGCCGGGCGGCAGCAGCTGGGCTGGCAGCAGGAGGGGCCACAGCAGGAGGAGATGGGCACGCAGCAGGCGGGTCTGCACACGGGGCGGCAGATGAGGGACACGCAGGAGGAGGGCCTGCAACAGGCCGAGGAGCAGGGGGTGGGCAGGCAGCACGAGGAGGCGGCCCCAGAGCAGACGGGCACACAGCACGCGGGCCTGCAGCAGACGGGCGTGCAGCACATGGGCCTGCAGCAGACGGGCGTGCAGCACATGGGCCTATAGCAGACGGGCGTGCAGCAGGCCGGCTGGCAGGGGGAGGAGGTGCAGCAGGAGGGCTGGCAGCAGCTGGGGACACAGCAGGTGGACAGGCAGCAGCTGGGGGCGCAGCAGGAGGGCTGGCAGCAGCTGGGGACACAGCAGGTGGACAGGCAGCAGCTGGGGGCGCAGCAGGAGGGCTCACAGCAGCTCTCTGGACAGTCGTCCACCTGCCAGGAGGAGCTGGTACAAGAGTCACTGGAACCAGGCAGGCAGGTGCAGCTGTCATAGCTCAGGTCGCTGGAGCAGACAGACAGGGTGGAGGCGGCCATGGTGGGGCGGCGGGGCTGAGGCGAGCTGGGAGCGGGGTGTGAGTGTGTGTGAGTGAGTGAGTGTGTGAGGTGCCCAGGCTGTCAGCTTTTATACCCTGTGTGGCTTGTGCTTCTCCACAGGATGCTCATACACCTTCTTCCTTGTTTATGTTTGGGCCACAGAGAACTCTCATTAGTGCCGGTTTTGTGTTTTTGTTCTGAGATGTTGCTGAGCTATGAAGCTCTTGTGTGTCGTGTGGTCTGTTGATTCGTCCATTCTAAGCTGCCTTTGGGTCATAATGCTGAGGTAGAAAGTCATGTGTGTCAGCAAATAGCCTGACCCGGGGTCTGAGTTGGCTCCGCGAGAGAACCATCTCTCCAAATCCAACCGCCCTTTTGTTGACACCCAGGAAGGGTCCTGTGAACACCTGGGGACTCTGTTGTTGGGGGTGCCATGGCTTCCCAAGTGCCTGGCTGGAGAAGCCCGGGCCAAAGAGGGCATGGGGCTGGAACATTTCTGACTGTGGTTCCCCAACGCGCCCTCTGGTGCAGGGACTCCCCTGGCGCAGGTGCTGAATGGGTAAAGGCGGATGGTCTGGCAGTGGCGCTGCCATGTCCCTGGGTGAGCAGTGCACACCCCGGTGACCCACCCGACCACTCAGTGAGGCGCAGACCCTGCGCCTGTCCGCAACCTTCCCACGCTTTCCTCATTTATCCAACACTGAAATCCATGCATATGACCCAGAGGTCCCTGTCCACCCCCTGCAGAAAGCACAGCCACCACAGCGAGGCCTCTGCATGGAAAATGAGGACTGCTTGTGGTTCCTGGTTTGGTTTGGTTTTGTTTTTTTATTGTTAACAGAAAAATAAAATGCACAACAATGTTAACAGTAAGGATGAGAAGGGTAGATGGAGTTCAAGTTTTCTGGGTCTTAGTGTTGCTCTGAAAGGGGTAAGAATACCGATCTACGCCTGAGTGACAGAGAGGGCGCGCCGTAGTCCCGAGGCCACCACAGAAAGTTTCGTACATACGATGGATAATTAATCATGAAGAGAAAAGGGAAAGGAATCATAAAAATACTAGATTAACCCAAAGTAGTCAGGAAATAATTAAAAAGAACATTCTGGGACACATAGAAAACATATAGCCAGAGAATAGATATAATATTGTAGGTATGTGTGATGCTCACAAAAGGCTGGAAGTAAAACCGTGGACAAGAACACACCATGCAAGCACCAAGTTTGAAAGGCTGGTGTGGCTTGTTACTACCAAGTAAAGTAGATCCTAAAGCACGAAGCGGTACTTGAGATCAAGACATTTTATAAACCAAAAAGGGTCAATCCACCAGGAGGCTATAACCATTTCACATGTGTATGTACCTAATTATATAGCCTAAAGCAGAGAAATCAAAAACTGACAGAACTAGAAGTAGAAATAGAGAAAGATAAAATCAGAGTTGGGGACATTAATACACCTCTCTCAATAACTGAAGGAAAAGGAGACAAAAATAATCTTGAAGAGTGGGAAGGGCTATTTTAAGTTTGGAATAAAACATGGGCGCCCCATGTGTTGTGTGGCCCTTGCCGCCCAAGTGTGGCCAGGACCCGTGACATGCTTTAGGCACCAAGAATACAGCAAAGGCGATGGGATGTGTGTGTTTACATTACAAGATTGCAGCGCTGGTCTTGGGAGGAGACTCTGTCCTTGCTGGCTGTGAAGAAGCCAGCCATTGCAGGTGCGCTGCCCATGGAGAGGGCCACCGGGCAAGGCATGAGAGTGGCCCTCAGCTAGACCACCTGCAAGGAACTGAATTCTGCTGAGAACCATGTGGGAAGTGGCTCCTTCCACAGTCAAGCTCCCAGATGAGACCCCATGGTGCAGCCCCATAGTGAACTCAGTACAGCTCAACCCCCAGAGACTATGAGTGACACATGCATTGTTTTAAGCCACTGAGCTTGTGGTGGGTCATTACACAGCTAAAGAAAACAAACACATGCACTTGCCCCAGCTCTGAGGACCAAGGCTGGGACCTGGCTATCCACTCCTGTTCCCCTGGGGACACATGTGGAATTCTATGCCCTCATCAACAAGGAAGAGAAATCTTCACATATTCAGAGGAGAGGAGCTCCATGTTAGGATAGGAAAAAAACATACTGGGTAAAATATGGTACAATTTGTATTTTAAAAATGTGTATACAAAGACATTATCTGTATGTGTCTATACCTCGACGGATAGCTCTTCATTATTCAGGGACTCCTTACCTGTGAACTCACCTACTCACTGCAGTTCATTTGGAGCCCCCGCCAGCCCTCGCAGGGCCTGTGTGGTCGCTGGTGGACTTGTGCAGGGCGGCTGAAACTCCGAATCCCCCAAGACGCATGTCCTGGTTGAGGCGGCAGAGGCAACACAGCCTCTTGCTTCAGCTCTCGCTCTGAAATCCTGTCCTTCCCAGGCTCTCTTCAGGGCTGTGTTTTCCACATCTTGGGGCTTTATGCTTGTGACTTTGCTTATGAGAATGGCCCAAAGTGTGGGGCTGGAGTGCTGTCCGGTGCTGGGAGTGCAGGAAGGCTGCAGCGCGCCTCACAGAGAAAATACCCGGCCGACGGCACGTTCGGGTGGGAGTTACAGCGCAGGGGGCTGTAATACGACATTAAATGAGATGCATATTAAATACATGTATTAAATAAAGTGCCTCTAAACAGAAACACACATGAAACAAGGCTACATCTTGATTGGTTATGAAAATACTGTGCCCGGAGGCTCACAGGCACCCTACCTTGCACGTTCCCAGGAGCCCTGGTTCAGTGTTTGCTATTTCAGGGTTTGCGGCAACTTTATAGAACATGATTACTGCAACTAATGAGAAGGGACAGCATGTAAGTGTGTGTATGCGTGCAAGCAGAGAGAGACACACAGAGAGAGATGGAGGGAGAGAGAGAAAATAAAGGGGTAAACTTGCAGCTTCCCGAGCAGGGTGCAGGCGGGGGCAGACGGAGTGAGGGAGGCACTCTGCTCGGTCATGTTTTGTATCTTTTTGTTGTGCACTGTGGCCCTCTGCTACTTAGCGACCCTGTAGGCTGCCTGGGTACGCAGGCTGGGTATCCAGCCAGCAGAGGGCTGGGGAGAGGCTATGGGGGAGCTGCCTTGAAGGAAAAGCCAGGCGTCCCCATAGAGAAGGCCACCTGAGAGGGCAGCAAGGGCTGTGATGCCTCCGCGGTCCAGCCCAGGTACTCTATTTGGGTCACACATGGGAACCAGGCACCCAGGAAGCTGTCATTTTTCTGCAGGGAAGGGGGCCACATGATTTGCACTAGAATACAAAGTCCTATGGTTGTCCAAGCTCAAGGACAGGTGGAAAGTGGATGCACAGACAGCTGGCCTTGGAGAGAGTCTCTGGTGATGGGAAATCCTCCTGAGCTCCAGCCAAGTGGTCCAGGTCCTGTCATACCCATGTGACCCTCGGAAGTCACCGAACGCCCCTGGCTCTAGATTCCTCCTATATAAAGAGGCAACAGTTCTGTATCCCCATGGGTTGAGGTGTTTGAACCATGGGGGAGCACTTCCCAATGCCCAGTGCCTGCAAAGTGAGCCAGGCACTGGGGCTGCGCTGGCCACTGAAGGGGTGATGCCCTGGCACACCCAGCATGGCTTGAGGCAGGACCCCAACCCCACTCCACATGCACTTGCCTCAGCTCTGAGGACCAAGGCTGGGACCTGGCCATCCACTCCTGTTCCCCTGGGGACACAATGGGACTGGCTGCTCAGCTAGACAATCTAGGTTTACAAGCTGCACAGCATCACGGGCAAACAAACATCTCTGATGCTGCTGGGAGGCGGAAATGGTGGCTGTAGGGCTTGGGATACAGAGCAGGAGGGTATAAAAGCCAACAGCCCCAGGCACCACACACACACACACACACACACACACCCACACTCCCCTCCCAGCTCACCTCCAGCCCCACTGCCCGCCATGGCCGCCTCCACCCGGTCCGTCCGCTCCAGCGACCTGAGCTATGGCAGCCGCGTCTGCCTGCCCGGTTCCAGTGACTCTTGCACCGATGCCCCCTGGCAGGTGGACGACTGTCCAGAGAGCTGCTGTGAGCCCTCCTGCTGCGCCCCCAGCTGCTGCCAGCCCTCCTGCTGTGCCCCCAGCTGCTGCCTCTCCACCTGCTGTGTCCCCAGCTGCTGCCAACCCTCCTGTTGCGCCCCCAGCTGCTGCTCCTCCACCTGCTGTGTCCCCAGCTGCTGCCAGCCCTCCTGCTGCGTCCCCAGCTGCTGCCAGCCCTCCTGCTGTGTCCCCAGCTGCTGCCAGCCGGCCTGCTGCACACCCCTCTGCTGCAGGCCCGTCTGCTGCACGCCTGTCTGCTGCACGCCCGTCTGCTGCACGCCCGTCTGCTGCAGGCCCGCGTGCTGTGTGCCCGTCTGCTCTGGGGCCGCCTCCTCGTGCTGCCTGCCCACCCCCTGCCCCTCGGCCTGCTGCAGGCCCTCCTCCTGCGTGTCCCTCATCTGCCGCCCCGTGTGCAGACCCGCCTGCTGCGTGCCCGTCTCCTCCTGCTGTGGCCCCTCCTGCTGCCAGCCCAGCTGCTGCCGCCCGGCCTGCTGCGTCCCCGCCTCGGCCCAGAAGTCCTGCTGCTGACTGAGCACATCTCCCCAGAGCCAGCTGGGCTCAGGTCTCCCAGCCACCCCTCAGTCCCGTCCTGACCCGTGTTAGATGGCTTACCCCACCCAGGATGGGGTCCCCCAGGTCTCCACTGTCCTCACCTGACCGCTGTTCCTGGAACCCCTGATCTTGCTGCTTCCCCGGCCTCTTGCCTCCCAGGAGGCACCTCCACCTGCCCCTGGGTCACCTGTCCTTCCCTCCCCGTTTCTCTGTGGGGTCACTTGACCGCCACTCTCATCTTGTCAGCATCTCCTTGGGCGCCCCAATAAACTCTCTTCATCACCTGATCGCTTCTGGCACCTGATTCCATGGGGAGGGGGACGGGAGGGGAGGAACACGTGATTTTCACCAGACATTGG